TATGAAAATGGCGGGAGCACGTGGATGCACAAAAAGTCAAACTTTACTGTCAAATATCAGTTTGTAATGTTCAAAGTCACCAAAATATGCCGATATGGAGCGTTGAGACGTTTTCAGAGTCCACACATCGCTGCCACCATGTTAATTCGTGCTATCTGGACGAATAATTGATAGGCCTAGCTGTGACGATCAACAACATGCGTTTTTTCAATACACATAAACATAACTAATCATACACCGAACCCGACCCGAATTCCGAACTCGTTCCAAATATAGTAAATAGCATTTCATCAACATTCATCGAAAAGACTAGAGCTGTCCGGAAATTAAATTTCAGAATCATACAATATTAGAGCTTGCAACAGAAATGTTAAAAATGATTTAAAGGATTTAAAGGTTGGTATGTCAAGAGTATAACATGGTTTTATTAATTTTCCCATTATAATGATTATGTATCGTTTTGCATAATTTGTATTTGAAGGACCTTACAAGGCATATTGATATACATCGCTTTGCTATTGCCTTAAAGTTTTTGCAAAAGTAGACGCTAGGGATTTCATAAAGGAAATAAAAAGCTATAAAGCTGTATGTAAAGAGTTGGGACTTTAGACAAAATCATCAGCAAAGGAAAAAGGGTAAATAAGTTTTATTATGATCGTATTGCTTTTAAATTTAATCCTTTTGTACTACCATTTTGATTGCACCATTATTATTGCTCCCACGAATTTTGATTTTTCCACAGTATCTGAATTATTGGAAAAAATATATATTGTGAAATCGATTTTTTGGCGGTGGAGGGGTTATTTTCATTAATTTTGATATATAAAGAGACAAATGTATTGTGTTCACCACGGAAAGTAAAACTTAGTATTTTTCTTCTCAATAATTCTTTATACATGAAAACAAATACCACTCAAAATCCAAATTTTCTTAAATCACAAAAATTTGACCCAAAAATAAGATTTTACAGTAGTACCTTTTTGTAACAATTCATATACTACACACTATGATAAACGAATTTTTCTCGTAGGCATCATCGCATTCCATGCACGTATAGAAAAATTCAAGCAAAATCTGGCTTTTAAAGCCGTTGTCATATTCGGGAAAGTAACCCTCAATGCAGGAAAAGCTTACGATGGAAGTACAGGGAAATTCACGGCTCCAGTCAATGGTATCTACTCATTTACATGGACTATAGCTACCACTCCTGGAAGGAGATTTAGCACAGCTATCGTAAGAGATGATGAAATTATTGGTTACAACCATGTCAATGGTAAAGTAGGTAGTAACAACAGTGAAAGTGGTTCAGCAACAGCCATAATAAAAATGGCCAAGAGCGACAAGGTGTGGATAAGAGTACAAGAACATGGAGAGTATGCCTATGCTCTCTGGTCGTCATTCTCTGGCTTTCTGCTGTGAAAGAAATCTCAAATGTTATTAATATGACAATAAAATCCAATCAAATTATGGACCATTTTATTTTCCTTCTTAGGTTTGTCAAAAGTAGATTAATTTTGTCAACAAAATAGAATGCACCTTTTGTGGGCTTATTCATGGTGATGAAAACGAGGTTTAATACATTTTTTTTTTAAGCTATCGGGGCATTTATTTCATGATTACATCTGACCAGCAACTTCTCATCAAGCACTTTAATTTACCTGATCATTTTCTTTTGTTTTGTCAATGAAAGTTTGAACTCTAGATTACGGTAATTATCATATAATAGTCTATCATCCAGTTCATTTTTCTGCTGACAACAAGAAGAAAACTGAATAGGAAATTTTGGCGTTTTTATAAGAAAGCAATGACAACGTTAAAAGTGTTGTTTCAAGTCCACAATTTGCAATTTGAAAGTGATAGGACTTTTTAGCCATATACAGAGGTGTAAGCGTAGTCGCGGACATTGCTCTTTCAACAGACCATTTAAACACTATGTCTCTTGTTTCACTACAAACTTAAGCTAATAAAAGGCTTTTTATCTCAATTGATTTTAGAGCATGTTCTACGTACGAACAATTTCTAAAAAGAGGCACGCTACAGACAAATTAATATAATTTGTTAAAATAATTTCCTTAAAGTCAACATTTTTTTTCAGCATGTACAATTTATCGTTTAACCGAATGTTTACTGAAGTCTTCAGACCAACTTTACATAACTGAATGAATTTTGATAATGAGCAATGACATATGTTATTGGTTGAAAAGGAATGTCTGGACTGCCATGGATCTGATTTCACCTTGGATGGTTATAGAGGTCTGTATTTGCTAAAATGCTCCCCATTTGTATTGATTCGATAGACTTTTGAGCATGATTAATGTTCATTTTCTCCACAAGTTCAAGAAAGTCAATAAAACTTACCACTTGTCCTCTTTGATGACAAACAGAGTAATCAACAATTAAATAAAAATACACAAAACAAGCATACTCAAAATAAACTTTGATATATATAATGTTATATAGGAACAATATAATACAGTAACTCAAAAATGCAAGTTCTGATCAGTGCTTTCTTTGAAAGTATTATACATATATTGTACGTAAGATCTCTCAATATCTGAAAAACTTTCTTCGGTAATTCTTTTTAGAAAGATAAAACTTACGCCGAGGAGTGGCTTCATATTTTAAACTTAAGGGAATAGTCAAAGAAAAATGACTATACAGCAATTTAATAGAAAGCAATGCAGTAATGTTGATCTATCAATAAAGTTTGAAAATAAAATCGGAATTGCCTGCACAAGACCTCAAAAAGACTTTTAAACAATTATCAATCATGATATTGCATGTCAGTAAAAGTTTTATTTATATTTTATTTTTATAGATTATAAATATTGTATATTAAATAAAATTTGACTTCTTCTTCGATAAACAGCGTCCTCAGTATCCCCTTGCTTGTCGTAAAAGGCGACTAAATGGGGCGGTCCTTCGGATGAGACCGTATAAACCGAGGCCCCGTGTCACAGCAGGTGTGGCACGATAAAGATCCCTCCCTGCTCAAAGGCCGTTAGTGCCGAGCATAGGCCTAAATTTGCAGCTCTTCACCGGCAATGGTGACGTCTCCATATCAATGAAATATTCTGGAGAGGGACGTTAAACAGTAATCAATCAATCAAAAGATAAACAGCCGTGAAATAAGAAAAAAAAACGTAAGGTGGTGTTTATGGTGGGTAGATCGAAGATACTTAAAATTTAAATTTTGCATAAATTCATCAATCAAACTTGATATAACTGTAGTAGTAGAAATAAGTTTACGTAAATATTAAGTGATTTAAAAAAAATAATGTACAAATCATTTCCGTTTATATTAGATCTTAGTCTCCACAGAATTTTCTAGAACGACCTCTTGCTTACAGACCATTAATGCCAGTACATTATAATTCAATTATTTAAAACTCATTTTTCATTATTTCATCAAATAAACATGTACAAGATTTTTCATAATTTGTTTAGCAATATATAATTATATTTTTATTCAGGTAAATTTAAGCTGAACAAAAGTGAAGCTCCTCTCCTTAAACAAATCTCAGTTATTTGAGCGATTGTTTAAATCTTCTGAAAGGTAACTCAAATATTACTTTGTTTTGTGATTTGTCCTATTGCTGCACTCACATCTTACAAAAAATTTCCAATATAGATAAACATAAGCACACCAGCAATCGCTAAAAGGCAATAATGCCAGTAGTTATTGAATTAGATTGTGCGCTGTTCAGTTGATTTTTGCTTCTCATATCTTCATCGTTGCAGCGTTTGGATGAATGTTTATTGAGTGAAAATGCTGAAATTAATAACGCTTTAGTAAAAATATGTTCAAATTTTTAGATTTAATTGTAGAATTATTAAATTCTAAAATGTTATTAAATTTCCTTTCTATATAAGTAAAATATTCTTGAGAGGGACGTTAAACAACAAACAAACTATCTATCATGATTGTTAAAATTCGTAAAATGAAATGATACCTTTTAAGATATTTGTGAAGTCAACGTGTTTGGTTCTCAACTGATGCTGCTCCTAGTTTATTAACTTTAAAATTTACTTTCTAAAACTGATTAACCATATAAATTCCACCATTCCCACCCAGTACAAACATTCCAGTTTTATGATTTTGAAACAAAGTGTCAGTTCCGAACTATATACGTTAATAGATGTCATATAGCCAAATAATATTGCGCATCCATTGGATTACATGTGTGAAATCTTTGATACACATTACATGTATTATTATTAATGTATTTACAAAGAATTGGGTTTCATTATTTTTTTTTCATTTTAGGTAAAAATTAATTAAACAATTCAAAATACGAACTGGAAATTATTTTTTAATTAAAATTTATATTATACCAAAAGAAAAGCATCGCAATTTACATTAACAGATTAAAAACAATACAAATGGAAAATGGAGACCGTCAAATATTGCAATGTAAAAGACAAAACCCACTTTAACATTATGATTAATATCTCTTCATCTGTGTAAAAGCATGTTTCAATACTCGTAATTATAAGATCTCATCCACGGAGCATATTATTCACATACTAATGCAGAGATGTTTTTTAGCTTTAGACCCTATTTTGTAATTTTCTACTCGGATCTTTGTAGAATTAAGAGTAACCATACTAAATATTCCAATATTTATTTTATACTTCCTGCGATCCAACACATAGTCACAGAAATTAAATCAATAAAGGAAACATATATGTTGAGGAGACTTTGAACTTAACAATTATTTTAATAATACTGATCTTCCTCAATATTATCGAAGGTGAGGATGTCTCTGCAATTCGTATATACCAATTATAGTACTAGTGATTCAAGTGAATTTTGTGTAATTATGTTATGAAGATTTTATTACTTATAAAACAAAATCTTCACCTTTCCTTGTACTTGAGGGATGCTCGGTTGATGCCTCATTTTCTGTTTTAACGATTGTTTGTGAAATGTGTGTGGACATGGTATATTCAGCTAAAAAGAAACGATTCCTCTTTTAAATGTTCGATATTCAAATTGAGACAACATCACTGAAACGGACAAAAATTTGATATTTTCTAAATTAAAAAGAAACTGATTAAAGCTTTATAACTTATTCTGATGAGTGATTATTTGAGCGATACTCTAACCTCACAATGTATCGTTGCTGTAAAAGCATTAAAATAATCACATTAGAGAGAATACCTTCATTACGCATTTCACAACCGTAAGCATGATGACAATCGTTATTGCTACAGTTGCAGAGTAACTAACACTCTCTTCCAAACGATGGTGGTACACATTGTTTTGTACAATCTGGACCGTGGAATCCAACTTCACATACTATTTGAAAAAAAGTATGTAGGATTTTGTTTTTGATTTAACATAGAATTGTCAGGGGTCATAAATAATAAACAATATATGAGGGAAGACTTTTTATCATAATGTTTCAGAGAAATAAAGTGAATTCCTTTGCTACAATTTAATGACCAAAAAGTCGAAACACTGCATCAAAAGTCCGTATAGGACATGTAGTTCATTAGCTTGAAGACGCGATGGTTTGAAACCGATGAAGCGATGCAGCAATAGTGCAATGATTCGACAATATGAAGAGATATCACGATAATGCTGATGACATCATGTTTTCGCGCATTCCATCATCGTCATCTTGCGATCGCATTGTACATTCATCGTCATTGCAACATTGCCTTATCACATAGACTCTACTAGTATTCGATCCAAACTTCGATGGCATGATAATGCCATAGTGTATTACATATATAATTATGAATTATCTGAATTTCGTACAAAAAAGGAAAAAAAAATATAATCAAACCAAAGGCCAGTTATAAACAATTTTTAAAATAAAATAGTGTGTTTTCTGAAAAACAAAAACTAGCTTCAATTCTAGCTATGAGACAAAAAAAAAACATATGTTAAATACACCATGAACTTACATGTGCAGGATTTCGTTTCTTGATTCCATTTATACATGTATCCAGAACAGCATGTTAATCCATTTAGACTAAAATTGATTAAATTTAATTGAGTTTATGTTCTTTGCTTGTAATTAAGTGTAAAATAAATTTAATATAACCTTATTTACAATGGTATGTTTCTCTCGAATGTATTTAGAACCACAGGAGGTTAATTGGTCAAAATTTTGTATGTACCATAGATTACAGCTATAACGTACAAATACACATATAGATATATAATGCTATCTCTGAAAGTTTTCTTTTTCTCTTTCACATTAACGAAAAAATTCCTTTTTTAGGAGTAAACGAACATTTTTCAATTACATTTTCCGCTGTTTTAAGAGTTTAGTATGTAGAATTGTCAGTTAAAGGCCACAGACCTGATAATTTGTCGGAAAGGAAAACAAGTGCCAAGGTAAGGCGCTAAATGGAGTGGACCTAGCCTGCTCTGGATACATGTACGTGAATATAGGTATCGATTA